CCTGTCAATGAAGACTGGAGCCGCCACCAGCTGTGATCACACAGAGCTGCAGCTCCACCTGCTGCTCACAGCCAGGATAACACCCACTAACGTTACAGCACCCACAGGTGAAGAGAACGACCGTGACACTGACAGCACACACTGATCTGCTGACTACAGTCAGGTAATCACGGCCTTTAAAATGACGCCCACGTTACATCTGAGTGTGATTAGAAAGTAAAAGCCGTGAGCACGACCCCTCATCGTTGCTGTGTGACCACACACCCACACTACACCTGCTGCACATACACACTCTCCTGTTTATGTGACTCACATTTCGCTCCATGTAAGTGAAGCTGCGTCTCACTGTGAGCTCATCTGTACCTCGGGACAATCACAACCTAACGTGGCTGTGAGCCGGCAGCTCACAGGTTTGCTGTTTGTTAAACAAGCTTATAAAGATTTGTTTTTCTGTTCACACCCTCAGCTTCTCCTGCCAGAGCCCAGAGGTGGTCCATCCTCCGACAGCTCAGCTGTTCGGGCAGAATGAGGGCGCGGCATTCATCAGCTGGTTCTAAAGTTGTGGCAATCTCTGAGAGACCAATCAGAGGCCATCTCATGTGGCGCCTACGGTAAACAGAAACTGCTGTAACCTGCTGTGCAGGCAGAAGAAGCTGCTGCAAAGATAAACGATCGTACGGCGTCAGTCAGACCAGCCGTGAACGTCCCTCAGTCTGAGAGCTTCTGCTGCCAGGAGAAGCTGACACTAACGTCACCGAGACAGCTCTAAAGGCCTCCAGAACCAGCGATCTGCAAACAGGCGGCGAGACTGTCGGTTGGACGGTGTGAAAGCATCTCATTAGCTGATGGAGGCGAGGAGGTACGAGCTGAGGACGTGGAGACGCTCACCAGCGTGACGACCTCTCTGACGACATGAAGGATGTCTTCACAAATGTTCCCTTACCCTCTGGTTTTGACCCAGAAACGATGATGTAAACGTCTGTGCACGGTTCTGTGATACTATCTTTGAAGAGCAGGAGTTTAATGAGGTCACATTTCATCCAAATCTTTACAGTGATGAGCAGCGGCTGTTCGGTGCTGCCTGAGTTTGTCCAGCAGGTGGCGTCATCGTACCTGGGCAGGACGTGACACCACACGGCTCCTGCGGTGGAGGCCAGGTCGACGACGAAGTCACGGTCACTGCATAACCTCTGGAGCACGAGCGGGGGCAGGTCGAAGTCCCCCAGCTGAAACACAAACATCCTGCTTCAGTCTCATTTGTCCTCCTTAACAGCACTTCTGTGAAGGAAGACTTGACCTGAGCATTTTGTTCTTCTTTAATAAACTTTGACTCAAACTAAGTTGAAGTGTGAGTTTAAATGGCAGCAGTGAGGGTCGAGTTAAAACGTTCAGTGGTTTTTATAAAAGCCACAGAGGCAGCAAACCTCGGTCTGTTCAGCTCGCCACGTTACTCACGACATTTACATAAAGGTGTTCTTGTTGTCTTACGGTGGTCAGGGGCAGTCGGACAGCGCTGGCCTCAATGCTGAAACACATGTGGGCCTCAGTGACACTCAGCTCCACGCCTAACACACACACACACACACAGAGTAATGTTTAATGTGTCACTGTGTGCAGGTCACTGGGAGGAGGTAAAGGGTGAAACTTACTGACAGCGTTGAGCCTCCCGCTCTCAGTCAGGAAGTCTTTTCCTGGAAACAAACAGAGAGGACAGAGCTCGTCACTGCACGGACTCTCATGTGTGCGAGCTGCAGTTTGACAGGAAACAAAAGGATCACACTTTGCTCGCCTCTATCACACTAACACATGGCAGGTATTTGATGAGTTGGACCACAGCAGTACGGTTCAGTCTCAGGTGGTGATGAGCAAAGACTAACACGTGTTATTCAGCAGCTGTTACAACATGCTGCTTTTGCTTCAGACAGATCTGTGCGCGCCATCATTTCTCTCTGACTTCAAACTCTTTGTTTTATTCAGACTCGTGGAAGGTGAACGTTTGTGTCACTTCAGCCTTGGGCTGCAAACGTGCTGAGTGACAGCAGCGAATACACTGAGGCCAGGTTGTACAAATAACGGCTCGTTTTCCCGGCTCTGCAGGAGACCTGGGCCTGTTTGCATTGGGAGGTGTCAACACCGATAATCACGTCAAGATTATCTCGCTGTCATGACGAGTGATAAGTGAACACTGTGACTGAAATGGATCAAATCAGAAGGGGCCAGAACCAGAACTACACCATGTTGGTGCAACCTGGACAATGAACCTGATGTGGGACAGTTCATTCTCTCAAAGCCCCATTAGAGATGCAACCTTATCAAACGAGACTGCACTCGCCCAGATTAAACAAGAACAAATCAAGTTGTTCCACACGTGTCGCACCTGAGACGAGGAAGAGACCGACTTTGTTCCAGCTGGGGGACAGTCTGCTGATTAGAGAGTAGGACAGGCAACGCTGGAGGTCCCCTGGAAGCACAGACTGAGGAGAGCCCAGCTACACACACACAGACACACACAGATTACATTTTCATCAAGTACAACAGAGAAAGAACAGCAGGAATAAACATGAACAGTGTCAGCTATGGGACTTCACCCAGGTCTCCAGTCCCACCTGCAGACGGTGTCTGTGTCCAAACACCTGGAGGATGCCGTTCTGTAAGAAGGAGGTCTGCAGGAACAGGACAGTGAGGGTGAGGTGGTGCTAGAAAAAAACAGTTTGTCAGTGAAAAAGAAGCCTGGAAGTAACAGAAGTCCCCCGAGGAGGCGGGCTTATGGCAGACTTCTGTAAACCAGCCAGTTCCTCCCTTTGGGTGGGATTTCTGCCCTGGGAGTAGGAGCGATGGGAAGGTGGTGTGTGAGATGGAGAGGTGGGCGTGTGTGTACTGAGACGTTCCAGCCCTCACCTACAGCCATGAGGTCATGACTGCAGGTGTGACGCAGGGATGCAGAGCAGCTCCACTCCAGCTGTTACTGGTCTCAAAGCAGCTGCAGCTCATATTAAAGACCTTTGTAGTGTCCAGCAGGGGGCGACTCCTCTGCTCAAACTGTTTTCTGATGAGTTTATGGTCTCTGTCTACAGTCAGATTTCACTCAGTACGGCACAGGGAGCTTAATTTGATCAGTAAAATCAGTGACAGAGCAGGGTTACGTTGCTCAGCGACAGTTCAAGTCCTCAGCTTGAGACGTTCAGACCTGAGTTCACAAACTAGCCTGTGTTGTTTTATTGGGGTATTTTCATGCAGGTTATGGACAGAATAACACAAATACAAGCTCCGCCCTGAAATATGAATCTCCTGCACGTCTTAATGAAAATATTCATACAAAACATTTTTCATGACTTCATTGAATATATTCAAGTTACTGAATTAAATAAATCAGCTGATTCTGGTTGGACGTTTTTTCACATTTGACTGATTTCAGGTCTTTTACTTGGGATTTATTTCCCTGCGTACCGGCCCCCACCGTCAGCCAATCAGAACACGAGTTGTCTGAAAAGGGTGGGTAGCCTTAGAGGAGCTGCACCAAAGCCCCTCTTTTAAATAAAGAAGGATTATTTCTGACCTTTGATTCATGCACAGCTACTCTAGTCAAGTCCAGAATTAAAACATGGAGTAGAGCAGCTCGACTTTAACAGAAACCGAGTTAAAGTGTCATTACTGTTTATTATTTATGATCTACAGTCAGTGAAGCAAGGAGAGCAGAGCGTGAGGCAAGTGTTTATCTTAGCCTGGAACAATCTACGGGTCTGTGTGTCTCAGTGAGGACCGCGCTGAGCTGCTGACTGTGGACAGCTCCCACTGTCACAGTGGGACAGAGCTTTAGGGGCCTGAGTGAGGGTCTCAGGCCTCCGGTTACAACCAGGGTCTGCACGAGCGTCCTCACAAAGACAGCACTTTACCGCTGTGTGTGTGTGTGTGTGTGTGTGTGTGTGTGTGTGT